ATGTATGTTTTTCTTCTTTTTCTAATAAAAAATTATACTTAAATAAATAAAATAAAAAGCTTCTGAAGTTTTCTAAGAATTATACAGAAGCTGCTCAGAGTGAGGGGCCTGTAGGCCTTGTAAATAAAAAAAAGTAAATAAATAAGCCTTGTATAACAAAGGCAATGCGAAAGAAATGAGGCAAGAACAGGAAAACAAGCAAATGTTTAAGACAACATGAAAAGCAACAGATTACTTCATCTTAGGAAGCTAGCCCCAAATGATAAGAACACGCCGTACTGCATGCCAGCAAGATATATTTAAAAGTTTCAGTATTAACAATACCCCAGCCACTCTTCTATGGCAAGGTTTCTCAACCTCAGCAACTTTAAGATGTGTGGACTTCAACTCCCAGAATCCCCCAACCAGCATGCTCTGTGATATTAGGGGAGATGAGAACAAGCCAGGACAGGAAACATTTACCTGTTCCGCTGAAGCAACACTTGTGCCAACAGAGCCCGTTTGTCCCTGGGGTAGCTCCATATTCAGGTCAAGCCTAAAATTCAAAAAGGAAAGAAATAAAGCCAATTAAATTAAACGCTGGCATGCAGATACAGTATTCAGTATCCCAGGAATACTTACTGCTGCCATATGCTAGCAACTGAAAACATCTTGTTTGCATCCTTAATTTTCAAAAAGTTTAACTTAACATAGGCTCTTTAACGCAGGTCTGAGTGTATTTTTATTATTATTAGAATTCCAAGCGCTGCTCTTTGGAGCCAGGAACAATCCACCACCATCTCACTTAAATTCAAAAACAGAGCCCAGAGTCAAAAGGGTCTGCCCTTGAAGAGTATCCAGAAGCTTCAGCTGGTGCAAAATGTGGCAGTGTGGACAGTGATGTGTGCTCCTAGAGCACACGTGTTATCTCTCTGCTGTGCAAGCTGCACTGGTTGCCAGTCTGCTTCTGGGTCCAATTCAAGGGGATGGTTTTGACTTTTAAAGCCCTTCATGGCATGGGCTGGGTTATTTGAAGGACTGCCTCTCCCTGATTACATCTGCCCGTCCCATCAGGTCTGGCAGAAGAGGCATACTACGAGTCCTGTCTGTCAGGGAACGACACTAGGTGGGCCTGAGGAGGTGGGCTTCTCTGCCATGGTGCCTGCTTTATGGAACGTTCTCCCCCCAAAGTGAGGCTAGCAGCATCCCTACCTCTTTTCCAGAAGTCCCTCAAGACCTGGCTATGTCATCCGGCTTGGGGGTTCTAGAGGACCGGTGAGATCTTGAGGTGGCTCCACTAATTCTGTTAACATCTCATTTCCTATATGCCTTATGGAATTTTAAACTTTTTTAATAATGACTTTTTAATATATTTGTTGTTTTACATCTTGTTGTAAGCTGCCCACAGTCACTTTTTGTGAGATGGGAGGCCATATAAATTTGACATATAAATAAACAAAAAAACATACATTACACCCCACGAGCCACAATCTACCCTAGAATGGTTGGCATACAGAAACCTCCACCTGAGTTACAACAGATTGGGGCTTGGAAGAAGCATAGTTTAGGGGGCCAGAAGTCCTTCTTGCTGCTCCTATTGTCAAATGTGGACTTTGGGAACTGGGATTTCTAATTACTCAAATGATCCCAATCTTGATGTTAACTTATGAACAGAAAGATGTCAATGTTAGCTCTGGGAGCATTATAATCTTCTGCTTTAAGGGTATTATCTAGTTCAGTTTTCCCCAAATTGCTACTTTCCAGATGCGTTGAACATCAGCATCTTTAATTCTCCAGCCAGCAAGGTTTGGCCCATGGAAGATACCAGATTTGAGGCAACAAGTTAGAAGATGCTCTGCCTGTCCATTTTCCCAATCCTACAGGAATCCGTTGTGCTGGAGAAAAGCCAGGAATTTCTTGCTACCTCAAACACATTTTTAAAGAGCCTTCCCACACTGCATTGTTTCAGCTTTCGGATATTCATGCTTACCCAGCTTCATCCGCCATTTCTTGAAGAAGCATATCTACTTGATTCTAAAAAAACAGACATTGTAAAAGATCAAATCATTTAAGAAAATAACACTTAAGTGGGCAGCAATACAACAGAGATAATCACTGGAGTTTTTGTACTTAAAGGCTCTTTGCCACCAGAGGGCCTCCTTCATTGTGTGGGACTGAACTTTCACAGCACTGCAGTCATGATGCTCCACTCGTTTTTTGAACAGATGGTTTTAGAATTATAGCATTTTTATGGCTTTCTTCTGTTGCTCCTTGCAGTGCCTGGAAGTATCTTCTCAATCCTTCGCAGCAGACCACGAAATGTGAAAACCTGTCCACTCCTGCTCCCATTTTCTTAATCCTCATTAACACTAATAATATTCCTGTTCTGGGTTTCCAACTTTTTTCCGTGGACCACAAAAAATACTCAACGTATCACCCAGACAGTGCCCACCAGTACCTGTAAGAAACCAGCCTTTCAGGTATTTTTAATTAAAAACAACAGTCTCTCAACCAAAAACATTCTAAAACTTTCTCAGTTCTCTAAGAAAGAGGAGGCCCGACATTAGGGAGCAAGCTTTCCTTTGAACATTTACCTCACCAGGGCCAAGAGTGTGACCAGCACATACAGACCAATGTTTCTCAACCTCAGCAACTTTAAGATGTGTGAACTTCAACTCCCAGAATTCTGACTGGGGGATTCTGGGAGTTGGAAGTCCACACATTTTAAAGTCGCTGAGGTTGAGAAACACTGAGACAGGCCACTGCCTTGAGGCAGCTGGAGAGAGCTATTACCAGAAATCTCTGCTTTAATGAGTACATACTTGTGGTGTTGTTAGGGTAGTAGTATTACTCATGGTGTCTTCCATCTGTGCTGTCTGAACGTCTAAGGTTTCAAACTGCTGTTCAAACTTGTCCATCAGGGCAGAAATCTGCAGGTAAACAAATGGCGTAAGTAAAAGAGATCAAAAGAGTAGCAGGAAACGTTTAAAAACAAACAGCAAAATGTATCCATTTACCTTTTCTAAGTTCATACTTTTCAATGTAGCATCCATTGATTTAACTACTCCAGCCATTGATTTCGTTACCTAGAAGAGAAAGCATTTGGTAATCACATCAAGGCAGCCTTTTTTCCCCCTCAATCTTCTTAGCTTTTATTTTGTAACACTGCGCTCAATAAAAGAAGTTAGAGGTCTTGTATTGTCCTGATAAACAGAGTTTGGAACATCGTTACAAATGTAGAATGGCTGGTATGGTACTTTAAGGTGAAAAAACAAATCAGTGCCAGTCACGGCTACCTTGTAAACTGCTTTTTAAGGAATACTGGGAAAAGTTATTTTTACACTGCATTTTGGTAAGGTGAATAAGTGAAATTTTGCAAGCATTTCTTCCTGCCCCCATGCTACTTGCATGGTCTGGCAGAGATAGGTTTTTTTAATAAACAAAACCATAGTATTATTTACTTAGATTAGTATCAGTGTGCTGTATGAATTCAGGCATAGTTGCAGGTACATCATAGCTTATTGTTCATTTCAATAAATGAACCCAGCCAGTGTCTCCTCCAACCACAACTAGGATACTCAAGCCTAATATTGTCTGTCTGACTTTGATTTCATGTACTGCATGAATCTAGAGCAGCACTTCTCAACCTTGGCGACTTGAAGATGTGTGGACTTCAACTCCCAGAATTCCCCAGCCATCTTCAAGTTGCCACGGTTGA